TGTCACAGGAATGGGAAATTTCTTTGCACAGCAACCCCTTTGAATAGGGCAAAGAAGATTGCTTGTCCTCCCCGCAACCGGCTTTCCCACTCCTCCGGCAGGTAAAATACATTTTGAATAGAAAGGAATGGGTGTGAAAAAACAAGGTAGGTGCCAGCCACCTAAAATGTGGAATTCCTTCTTTAAGGTAGCAAGAATACAAAATAAAAAGGAACAACTCAGTTCCTCTTTAATTGCCTTTCAGAAGTTTGGGGGGGGGGAACGGTCCATTTTTTGCCACGGTACCAGCCTAAACATGCCTGGTCCTGTTGGATTTTGGAAGCTAAATAGGGTCAAGCCTGGCTACCATTTGGAAGGGAGACCACCAGGAGTCTCGAAACAGAATCCTGTGCGGGACCCTTGAAAGTTGCTGCGGACCAGAATTGAACATAGTGGCCGAGCTGGACCAAGGACCTGAACTCAGCATAAGGCAGCTTCCTTGTTGTTAACAGCACAGAACTCTTTTGAGGAAAGGCATCAATGCTTTAAATAAATATATGTCACTGTAACGTTCACAAAAGAATAGAAGGAAAGCATGCTGCATTGCAACATTAAGCGTGGGATTCAGTCACAAACCCATGGCAAAAAAGTCCTGCCAAATTCTTTTTATAATTCTTTCCAGATTGGGGCTTACAATTAACAGAATGGGTGTCCTTTACAGTTCTTGGCAAGTATGCTTTCTTCCTTGTTAGTTGTGCCAGTCAGCATATAAAATGCCTCTCTCTTTTTTCTACCTTGGCTGCCCAGCTCCCTCTTTGCTGATTAATAAGTTGCTTCTGCATTGACCAAATAACCACAGGGAAATGGAAGCCTATCATGTCCAGAGACATAGTGTGACTACTTTTATCTATAGTAGTTTTTTCCCCTCTTTAGCCAAAAAAGTACTCCAGGCCAGTTAACAAACATGAACCCTGAAGCTTACAACCTAAAAGATACAACACTCATCAAAAGGATGTACAATCATAATAATCATGTGCAATCAAGTAAATTCTAACTTATGACAATCCTGTTCAGGGTTTTCCAAGTAGTAAATACTCAGCAACCCTTCTTCTGAGGGTGCCCCGGGACTATGTCGCTTGCCCAAGGCCACATAGGCTGGTTCCATGTGTAGGAGGCACACTGAGGCATTGAACCTCCATGTATAAGCCACTGAGCAATCCAGCTATGGAGAATGAAAAAGGTCCTCCTTGCAGCAGAATGGTCAGCTCAGGGCAGAACAATTTGGGAAACCTAAAACTGGAGCAGCTGTGACTAACTCTAGGTTATAGCTAAGGGTGGGCTGAAGACAGCTGCTCTTAGGGCAAAATTTGCCTCACCTTTGCAAACAACTGGAATCCAAAGAACAAAGGTGGTAAAATCCTCCTCAGCGCCTGGTCAAATATTACACTTCCTGAACAATAGCATGCACCACAGGAATTTTACTTGTAGCAACTTTGAGATAGCCAGTCACCTGTCAATTTTAGAAAGGATACTGTCATCCTAAATCAGTTTGTTATCTACAATGTCATAGCAGACTTTTTATATGAGCCTGACTGCATTATTATTGATTATCGATCCAGTGGGCTAATTATCATTTATGGTACTACCATTAGAAGACGGAATCAGAATTCAAGAGCATCTTATCTTGATGGATTGGAGAACCAAAGCAAAAGAAACATGAGAAAATGAGATGTCCAAATATAGAATGGGAGACAGGGAACTGAGTACTTGTGAAATGATCTAGGGATCTTAGTAGACCAAAAGCTAAACATGAGCCAACAGCATGACATGACAGCAAAAACAGCAAATGCTATACTAAACATTTTCAAGGAGAAAGGCCAGGTAAAAACATTTTAAATAGGTAAATAAGCTGCATCAACAGAAATATGGTGTCCAGGTTAAAGGAAGCAACAGCACAAGTTCACTCTGCTTTTATCAGACTTTACCTGCAATCCTGTGCTAGTTCTGAGCATCATCGTTTAAGAGGGCTATTGAGAAGCTAGCATGTGCCCAGGGAAAAGCAATCAGGATGATAAAAAGCCTGGAAACCAAGCCATGTGAACAAAGGCTAAGGATTTTCTGTCTCTCCAGAGAGCTGGATTCAGTGTCCCCCAGGGTCCCTTCCAGCTGTACAATTCTACAGCTGAAACCCTGTTCTGTAACTTATACTACATAAAGCTAATGACATTGTCACAGCAGTAACTTTTCAAAAATTAAACATTTCTGATTTACCCCCTAAAAGTCCCAAGGCTCTTTGTAATTACTGTACTTTCATTGTAAGGAGCTATTTGGTGGCTGTGGAACAGGAGAGGAAGTCTTTAATTCCCAGGAATGGCTGCCATCAGAAAAGTCATCTACTGTATGTGTCTGCGATCTTTAGCAATTAAAGGCTTTCCCCTCCAGTCCCAGCCAGGAACAGAATTTCAGCCTGTGATTCTCTCCGCCAGTGCTAGGACACAGCCTTTCACACAGAAAACTTTAGGTCAGGTTATTCAGAGAGACAACTGAGAGATGAGCATCGTTTTTCTTTCCAGGTCTCCTCTTCTTTCTGCTCAGAGTGTGGGGAAAGAAATTGACTTTTGAATGCAGCTGGGCAACTTGACCGATCAAGAGCTTCTAGACTGGCATATGGCCAAGGGAAGTATCATAGATAAATAAAGATTAAGAATTTGGAAAGGAATTTGGCTTCCTCTGCTTTTGTTCATTGCCACTTCATATTATCTTCTGCTTCAGAGAAATCTAGACCTCTGTTAGCAGCCCTATTTCCTTCCTAAGAGGTCCTTTTAATGTTCACAATTACCATCTTTTTTGGCTGCTTCTGCACCTTCCTTCATGGATGTGGTGGAAGGCCAGGAAAAAATTTGAACCACTCTTCCGCATCCGAAAATACAAGCAAAACAGCCACCTTTTCCCTATTGAAGGAAGTTGGTGCAGAATGTCTGCAAACAGGGGTTGAGTAATCATCATATTATCAAAGTATTTCTGACAGGAATCAGTGCAAGGCCAGGTGAGCAGGTAACACCTCAAGCTGAGTGTTACCTGCTCACCTGCCCGTGCACTGATTCCTGTCAGAAAGTTACCCTTACCAGTCCCCGATTTCCAGTGACATTAAAAATAAACCCACCCTGCCAAATTAAGCAGGAAAAGTCATGACTCCATCCTGATTCATGAGCCCCTGTCACTCTCTCGAAGGCTGATTTCTGTCAGGAGCTTAGCACTTATCTAAGGATGTAACATGAGAAGGGTTGGATTAGCCAAGGTGCAAGCTTTCTATAAAGATCCTATTGACCTGTGTTGGAATTCTTAAGGGCTGAAACATCTCTCACAATCTAAGCTCCTTGCTGATTCAGGAGATATAACCCATCCCTCTCCACCATTCAAGTAAGCAGGAGCTCAACAACCAAGGCTGCAAGATACACACGCTCTGCAAACAAACAGGCTTCCTTATTAGCCGGATGAGGGCAAGTCTCTCAGAAGGCTCTTCTGTGCTTCAGCTTAATTCAGATGCACCTCTCCCCATCCTGGACTTTACCACAGGGCCTACAAAATTATACTCTGTATGTGTAGCCAAATACCACAGAAACACTGACTAGTAAACACCAGTCTTTGTCCGCTAATGTATTAAAGGCAAAAAGAATAAGATTCTTTTAATAAGGTAGGAAGCCACACTGGCCAGGGAAACACGTTGGTTTTTGTTTTTTTTTGACACACAAACACAGTTTTTAAAGAAAAAATAATTTTTATTTGCAATATAAACAAAGTCCCAATATTGGGTTCAGGATATATAGGGTCATTCATTTTTCCTTCATAAACACAGAAAGCAAAAGTTGTCCCTCACTAACAAAGTCTCATTTGTACGAAGAGGATGCATCTTTAAGAAGACCACCATTGGCATAGGAAGCCTTTTTACAAATCAGCTTAAGATTCAGATGCACTAAATCCCTGAAAAATAAAAAATTCTCCTTGAGGTAAAATGCAGTTAGGAGATTCCTCATTTGCTTGCTCATCCACACATAGTGCTCCACATTTCCTGCCCTGATGACCCAACAACCCCAACATTGTTACATAAAAATGAACAAATAATAATAATGAACAAACCAACAACAACAAAAGAAATCATTCCAATACTCTGGTACTATTCCCCCCCCCAAAAAAATACATACGCATACACACACACCACAGTTCCATGATGTGACAGCATTAAACATTCTTTCACATGGATATTTATTTAGAGGAAGGAGTATAAAAACTGAATATTTAGGAGAGGGAAAATTCCGTGGCTTTTTCAAAATTATTTCGAGAGTGAAAGCAGAAAGGGAGGTGGGGAAAAAGGAGGGACTACACTGCAGCCAATAATTCTTTTCCATGTCCATTCTACCCTCCTCCCAAAAAATAATTAAGCACCACTCCTCCCTCTTCCAGTATTATACATTAGTAAGAAATATAAACAAGTCTTCTTGTTGTAGAAGGCACAGCAAAGAAGTTACCCAGAAAAAGTTCACCAAAAAAGCTCCAATGGCCTCAGAAATTCACCAGTTTCCTCCACAACAGTTCCTACACGGCATAATTCCACGTCCTCTTTGCGGCTGGCATGAGGTTTGTCCTCTAGTTAAAGCCTTTTCAAAGTCTCTGCTCAAGATTTTGAAAATCGCATTATGATTTGATTCTTTACACCTCCCTGCCGCTCCTCCTCCCTCCCATACACGCACGCACACACATCCCGACGAGAATCGAGGGTGCCTATTAAATGCCAACATCACAGGAAAGTGTTTTCATTGCTTAGGAAGCTGGAATGATTTCAGGCCAGCTGGGTGATGTTAACAGTCATAAAAGGGCTGCACAGAGCAACCGAGAGAGCTTTTAAAACATGCTTTTACCACCTCTGGATGAAGGCGATGGGAGACGTGTTCTCAGATAACATCAAACAGAGTGGTGACTGGTGTAGGGTCGGGTGGGGGGGTGTTTTTTGTTTTTGTTTTGTCTTTTTTTTTGGCAAAGGTGGTATTTTTAAAAGCACATTGGCGCTTAGTCACCTTGGCTGATTCAGTGCAGAAGATTGTGAATCTGGGCATGGTGGAGAGGTGTAGGATCACTCGCGGGCCCTCACAAGTCATGAGAAAACCAACCGGTTGCTAACAAACAGTAGCAACAGACGTCTCTCTCTCTCTCCCCCCCTCCCCCTCCCCCAGGTACCCAGGAACATGCCAGAATATATCAAGGCTTTACAATGTGTGCAAAATGCATTTGGTCAATAGAAACGTTTGATTTTTTTCTCTCTTTCTTTTATCTAAAAAACATGAAATCAAACAAGAACAGAATAAAATACTGGTTTTTGCAACCTTGTCTGTACAAACAGTCAGGAACGTACATATTTAAAAAGAGTTTTTAAACCCGAGAAAGAGTAAAGATTACCTCCTTTTTAAAAAAGTAAACTGGGTTTTAAAACAACAGTCTCAGGCCAACACTTATTGGTCAAGGTTGCCAAGTGCATAAGTCTCCTTTGCTCGCCACACCAAACTCTAACACACACTGATCGTTTTTTTTTAACATGTGCGTGTGGTACATGTGTATGTTTGTGAATGTGTGTATATACGAGAGTGTGTGTACGGTGTGCGCATTATATCAGTCTCTACACACACAGGAAAGCAGTTATTGCCAGTAACAGCTGTGTTGAGAACGCTAGGCCAGGCCAGCCCCCTCATTAAATAGCTCTGGTAAAGTAACTCCTCCGAACCCACTTTGATTAGCATCAGAATACTAGTAAATGGCACAAGCCTTTTCAATAAAGCAGCAATCAGACAGCTCTACTTAGAGAAACCAGTTCTTTCAAGGCTGACCGAAAGATTTTCTTTTTCTTCCATCAAGGAATTTGAAATGCTCAAGAGAAGCACAATTCAGGGCTGGGGAGCTCTCTCCCCCACCAAAGAACCTCTCTTTTCAAGTGGACTCCAGCGTGTTCAGCTGAAACAAGTTGTGATTGGTTGGAGTGGAAAAGTAAAGCTGTTCGCCAGGGGAACAGTTGTCACACGGGCTGTTGAGTCCCAAAGTCCTCTCAAAGTCCAGGAGCTGGCCCATAAAGTTAAAGTTTGGGGAGATATTGGACTTTTTCCTCTTGACAAAGTCGTAGGCGTCATTCAGAGACAAGTTGAGCTTTTGCATTAAGTAGGCGACAGTTACCGTTACAGACCTGCTGATGCCAGCCAGGCAGTGAACAAGAATGCCACACTTCTTAGAACGGGCCTCATCTGAAATAGAGAGAGAGAGAGAAAAAAAAAAGGGATAAGGTTAGAATTCTGGTCCAAAGGTAGAAACACCTGTCTTTCAAGCAAGGATAATGAATACCTGTACCTAGGTCAAAATATTGCAATAGAGCAGTGATTCCAATCTTGGATAGCCCAGGTGATCTTGGACTGCAATTCCCAGAAACCCCAGCCAGCACAGCTGGTGGTGAAGGCTTCTGGGACTTGCAGTCCCAAGAATACCTGGCTTAACCTTAGGTTGAGAGTCACTGCAATAGATAATGATGATGAAATTCCATGTGTTACTGGAGAAACTGTTCTTATATATCTTCCACTCAAGTCTCCAATACAAACTGGCTGCAACACAAATTAGTCCTCTCTGTTGAGTCTTGCCACAAAGATGATGATGTAAGTATCCTGCATGGGGAAATGAGAACTGCAGTTCTGCTTCCCATGTTCTCCAAGTCTTTCTAATACTAAAGTTAACAGACAAAAATGAGTTGGATTGTGACCTAAGAAACAATGGGTAGGCAGTCCCAACTAGTTAAACTTGGCAACTCTGGCAAAAAGCTATTGCAGAGGTCTGATTTCCCAATTTTGTGGGCCTTCAGTTTTTCCGAATATACTAAAACTAGCTTCAGAAATTTACGGTACTTAAGAAGTGAAATTTTAAAAATGGTCTCATCAGAAAGGAAATGTAAAAACAGAATGCCACTAATTCTAATTTGATTAATAATTACATTCAAGCATATAGCGGGGAAAGCAAGAAAGACATACTATTACTTTATGGAAGAAATAACAACCTAAGAGCAATATTGATGACAAAAACAGGCAACTGTGGTGGGTATACTTATGGAGAGAGCCAGTGTGGTGTAGAGCAGGGGTCCCCAACCCCTGGTCCATGTCCCGGTCCGTGGGCTTCCCAGCACTAGGCCCCAGAGACGGATCTCCAACCCCCCCGGCACGCACGTGCACACACACTGGGAGTATCACGCTCGTGGGGGGTTGTCACACTCACGGGTGGGCATGTCGCACTTTCATGCATGTGCAGGGGGAATACTTGCCACCCCACAGAGCCCCCCCAATTGGTCCGCAGTTCCAAAAGAGTTGGGGACCGCTGGTGTAAAGGACAGACTGTCTACCTAGGACTCAAGAGACCAGGGTTCTAATTCTCACTCAGCTGTGGAAAACTCACTGAGAACGGCAGTGTCAAACCACTCCTGAAACAGCCTCACATACCTCAAAGACTCTAATAAGGTTGCCACAAGTCAGAAGATATTTGATGACACATAACTATACCACGTAATTGACAATGGAGAAGAAGGTTCCGATTCTAAATACTGTATCTGAGCCTGCAATCAGATATGCATTTTTCTAGGACTAAGCCTCGCTGAACTCAACAGCCCTTATTTCCAAATAAAAAGGAACAGGTGTGCACTGCTAGCACAGGACCTGTAAAAAGAAGAGCATATAACCCTAAAACTATACTGATACAGAACTATACTTTCCTCACATTAGTAGGATTTATACAGGACACATATATTTAGGCCTGGAAAGAATGTTTGTGTTGAATTTTTAGCTGCTGTCATAGTGAAAGCCACTACTGTACACCATGCTATGTAACAAGGTTCATTCACCACTGCTGTTTCTCAAGTAAGAGCGGTTCTTAAAGGTCTTCTGGTATTCCAGATAAACACAGGTTGCTTATTTTCAATTCAGTTTTAAAGTGAATGAGCGAGACAATCATTTTTTTATTAAAAGAAACTAAATGTGTGGTTTTCATAGAAAGGTTTTTTTTTAACCAAGTCATTGTCTAAATAGCACATTCTACCAGTATATCTTTAAGTAAAAAGTAAACATCGATCAACCAATAAAAGAATATGTATTTTACACATTTTTGAGAGTGTATGGGCCAAAACCTACCCTTAATTTGTGTTTCTCAGAATGTATTAAGTTTGCAACAGAAAGAGTAGCATGAGGAGTGGCCAACAGGCAACATTGAACAGCTTTAAGATATCAAAGATTGTGTTGAAGCACACCAGCACTGGCCCACAATCGATACTTGGCGGAACGCCTACTTCCACCAAGATCTACCCGTGTCACCCGCGCGAGTCAGGAGGTGAGGCTGAGGAGCCTAACGCCGAGGGAGGCCCGGAAAGAAAAGATAAGAAATCGGGCCTTCTCGGCGGTGGCTCCTCGCCTCTGGAATAACCTTCCCCCTGATATTCGCGCGGCTCCCTAGCTGGGTATTTTTAAAAATCAACTAAAAACACTGATGTTTCAGCAGGCCTTCCCCTCAGCCAATTCCCGATTTCCCCTCTCTTTCCTTTTCCCTATTGTCTGTCCCATCTTGTCCAAAGCTTTTCCCCTTATTTAAAATTGTTTTTAATTACATTTAATATTTTTGTTGTAAGCCGCCTAGAGTGGTCTTAACTGACTAGATAGGCGGGATATAAAATAAATAAATAAATAAAATAAATATTGTAATAGACTATATTAGAGACAGTGGGGATATCTGGCTGCAGAGCTAGAGGTCGGAAGTTCGATTCCCCATTCCACCTCCTGTGAATAAAGCCAGCCTGTGTGGCCTTGGGCAAGATGAACAGTTCCAGGGTGCCCCCAGAACAAGGGAATAGTAAACCATTTCTGAGTACCCTCTGTCTGGAAAACCCTGACCATACATCAGAACTGATTTTACAACACGTGATCATTTACTATCGTTATTAAAGACAAGACAGTATTGGTGTGCTTCAGCACATAGTAAATGGCTTACAGAACTACATTATCACCTGCAGCATACATAAGTGTATTAATTGTCAACATGAGTTTATGGAAGCCATGTTGATCTGTTGCAGCAAAACCAACAGGGAGTCTTAAGGCACCTTCAAGACTAAAGAGTTTATTTAGCTTTCTTTAGATGGATCTTATAAACTGGGCAGCAGTAGACAGACATGTATCCCAAATAAACCTTGTTAGCCTGAAGATGCCATAAAGGTTCTTTCTTGGTTTGTATAAATGTGGTATATACCTGGATCACAAGAGCAGTTTTGGAAAGTTAGCTTTCATTTGGACATAGCAACTCAAAGGACAATGCAAAGCACTTGTGCAGGCTTTTGAAACTCTCTTTATCGTAAGACTGTGGTGACTTATATACAGGTTCTTTATATAGAAAAGCCCAAGACTCTTCAAAGGTGTTTCGTCAGAGGTTCTCCAGCCTTCTCCAGCTGCCACCAGCTTTGGCTTAGAATAAGCCTTTTTAGTTGTTGTACCCCAATTTTGGAATGCTTTTCCCTACCTCACTTTAGGTACCTGGAAAATGCAACACTTTTCTTTAATTATTCTAGGTTTCTAAAACAGTGGGTAAAAAAATCCTATGGTGTAAATTTACATCAGTGGAAACTGATGATGTCATCAGCTACAGCTGATAAAATTTTACATCATCATCATTATCTTAGAACTGCAGAGCTTACGGGTCATCAAGTCCATCCCTTGTCAAGGAGGTAAATTTGCACCTTCCAACCTCTGACCCAACAGCCAGATACTAAACCACTGAGTTATCCTGTACTTAAATTAACTGCAAGCTTCCTTCCCTTCCCTTTCAGTTCTGAAGCTCCTTAAGACTGCCATTTGTCCTGTGAAAGTCTTTGGGACCCTCAGGATGGGGAGGAACCTATAACTGCCAAAAGGTCACCCCTAGAATGTCACCCAGAAGTTTGGGACCACTGGCAGTAACCTGGCAGCAATTTTTGCTGACTAAAGGCTCCCCTATTCTTCTCCCAAAGGCTTCCCCAAGGCAAAAGGAAGCCCAAGGAAGCCTTGGAATCTAAACTGGGGGAGAGAGGGATGACAAATGGAAGCTTTTAATTAATTTTAATCAAATTAATCAGCTTCCAACAGCATACATTTACTCCATCCAGGTTTTGGCTAATTTATGTTGCACTTTCTTTTTGTCATTTTCCATGGTTTATTTTATTTATGCAGCGTCAATTCATAATAAAGGAGTGAACATATTAAACATTGGATCCAACATTTGAAAATAGATTGTGTTTTAATTCCTTCAGAATTCGGTGCTTCCCAACCTTGTGTCTCCAGATGTTCCTGGACTACAACTCCCAGAAACCCTGGTCCACACAGCTAGTGGTGAAGGCTTCTGGGAGTTTTAGTCCAAAAACATCTTGGGACCCAAGGTTGGGAACCACTACTTTAGATAATCAGCCCAAGAGTTTTCTTTCCAAAAACAACAGTAAGGTTCTAATACCACCTGATGAGGCATGAGTGGTTAATACAAGTGAATCCATCACTTGCTGACATTACCATCAGGAGACAGCTGAAATATTGGAGTGCGTTAATGAACCATCGCCAACAGAAATCTCATACCAGTCCATATGTTTACTTCCAGCTTCAGAAGCTAAGGCTTGCAAGCCAGCTCAAAGTAAACTCATTCTTACTGGTCTCCAAACTGAGTCCTAAGAAATCTTGGAGATTCCTTAGGAAGATCTGGCACAGTTTGGAAAAGTTTGGGTTTTTTTATTATTTTATCATGTTGGAAGAAATACTTTTTGGACAGTAACTCTCCAAATCCCAAGCCACTACGACCACCACCACCAAAAATGCTACTTGTCCTGGGTCTAAGATCAGTAATCACAAGCAACCTTTCCCAAATAAGAGGATGTCCAGCACCAATGATCTCGCCCTGCAGTTCAACAGAAGAGGAAAATGCTGGGATGTCTTCAACAACACATTTTCTGTTGGCCCAAGAGTAGAGATGGGGGTATTCGTATTTGTATACCCCCCACATAGGTGGTGATAACGAGGATCCAGCCCCATAGGGCCGGACGGTCCACTCACAATTCCGCCACTGCTGCGACCTCCGCGGAGCCTTCCTATCACACCGGAGCTCGCGATCGTCTAGCCACTCCTGGCAGAAGACAGGACGGCAAGTTTCCCTGCCAGGTTGAAGAGTGGCTCATAGATCACGAGCTCCGGTGTGACAGGAAGGCTCTGTGGAGCTCATGGCAGCGGCGGAATTGCGAGTGGACCATCTGGCCCCATGGGGCTGGACCCTCGTTATCGCCACCTGTGCGGGGGTATTCATATACCCCCATCTCTAGCCCTGGGTGACACCAAGGCTCAACAGACTCAAGCAGCACCCCAGATGAAACATAAGTGCAACGTAGAGTATGACATACACACACACCCCAAATCCTCTTTAGTTCTATGGAAGATGCTCAACAGAATGTTTTAGTGCTGAGAGGGCGCTTTATGGGTACATTGTTTAAAGACAACAGCTTTATTTACTTCCTCAATCAATAAAGGGGCTATTTGGCAAGTATCCCATTCTCCCAGTTACCTGACAATTATTACAGCTGAAAAAGTTCCTAGGTACAGTTACTAACAACTGTGGTCTACAGTAGAATCAGCAGGCCATATACCTACAGAGGTCATTTAAAACCACCCAGAAACTTGTGGATCAAAACTCAAGGCTATTCCATTCCCTGCTACAAATTATTCAGAAGGAGAAATCCAAAATTAAAAAACAGTACTGAGCTGAACTACACCCTATATCCTCTTTAAAACTATACTAATGGGTGTAATCTTTGTCCCGCAGAGATAAGCTGGGTTTTAGCCTTTTAACTTTAAACGGAATGAAGCTTACAACCAAACAGGCACATTTGCCTGGCGCCAAAACTGAGAGGTGTAAAATTGGGCAAATAATAATGAGCAGTTACTGAAACCATGGAGCATTTCTGGAAAATCACCGATCGCTAAAGGGGCTGTTCTGTCAAGAACAGGATGTCCAACACCTACCTATGAAAGCAATGGCCTCGGGAAAGAACTGGGAGAGATTCTGACTCCAGTGATCCGAGATAGGAATCTGTTTGTACTTGAATTCTCCGTCGTGCTCAAACATGTTGGGAAGGTTAGGAGTCACATTCAGGATGTACTTGATGCCATACTTGCCCAATACATCCAAATTGGTGGAATCTTTGGCACACCCCAGATACAGATAGGGAAGAATCTGGACAGGAAAGGCTGGCTGATTGTTTGGGATGGGGCTCCCATCCGATTCTGTGGCACTGCTAGGCTCTCGATCAGACTCCCCGTCCGAGCAGTCAGAGCTGATCCTCAGGCCTCCGAGACCGAGGACAGAGGCAGGAGGAGAGTTGGTAGGGGACGAAGCGTCCAGGTTGGTTTCACAATGCTCCGAGTATTCAGTCTGAAATTTGTTGAATCCACCTGTGGAGGGGAGAAAAAGAAAAACACGAGCTGTAATGCCACAGCAGCTCAAAGTGAAAGGTAGCTTAACACTCTATTATCAGCATAAGTTGCCTTTTGTGGGCACTGATCACCTTCTCGGTCAAAAACACCCTGCTCCTAATAGAACCTCCAGCGCAGGAATAAACATTCCTCAGAAAAGGTATTTTCTGGACAACGGATTTCCTGGAAATCTCCAGCCAGTGTAACTATGATGGCCGGGGGGATGGTGGGAGTTGTAGTTTCCCTCCAAAAAGCTTTCTGAGTAAGGGGTAACAGAATGAGGTGTCTTTGGAAAGAGAGACAAATGTATAATTTTCTATGTATCTACTCCAATATAAACCAACTGGATTCAATGGGATTGCTGCTTGACTGAGTTACCTTCCTTTTCAGCAGTCATGATTATAGGTAGCAACTCGCCAAAAACAGGCCCAGCCTGTTTCTGTGCCTTTACACAGCACTTTAAAATGCAGGAATCAGCAAGTGAAAGTTTTCATACCATGAAGATGAACACCGCCATTCACTAGCAGCTGCAGATGAGACTGCTTGTTCAAACGAGGGGGGGGGAGAGTGCAGGGGAGGGGAGGAGAAAGGTACCACCAGAGCTTTGAAGTAAGCGGCTCTTGGATCACAAAGCCAGTTCAATAGTTTCATCCAACTGTGCTACAGACTGTCCTGCTTTTCACTTTAGCCTATTTCTCACTGTTGAAGTAAACATGTGCCTAAGTATACAAAGGATAGAGACAGATCAGGTAACAACTGGATTTTATATTTTCAAAAGCAGGAGTAGGAAGCCAACCTCCTGCATGTCCCAGGTGGCACGTGAAACCTCCATAACACCTTGCAGAGCCTAGTTTGAATGTCTGTTACTTCCTCCCTCATTTCATTTTGAGATGAAACAGGAGGCCCAACTCCATGGTGTGAACTTCAGACTGATTATTTTAAAAAATTTTGTCCTCCTCCTTGATTTAACATGTCACCTAAGGAACAGTTTTGGAAAACACAAAAGCTTGCATCCTATTTTGTGATTCTGGGTTGTTTCACTAAAAGTATTACTTAAAGAGAAGTACATGTGTTCTACCTAGAGTCTGCTAGAGATGGAGGCTGATGTGACAATCCTCTTCTCTCTCTTTTTGAAATCTTTACACAGAAAATCAGAGGGGAGAAAAATGCTTTTTTGGAGTGTATCTTGCACAGCGGTCCCATGGCAGTATGGTGTCTCTGGGGTTCTGGAAACTATAGTCCAAAAAGTAACTTTTCCCATCAGTCTAAATGGTTTGCCAGCCAAGGAAAGAACCAGACTAGAACCTCTTCTCTCTGCCTCCCGTCTCCAACACCTAGTTATTTAAATATAGAATAGTATCAGAAGAGTATTATCAGAAGAAGCATTATAACGCATGTGCCACACCACCTGCAATTTGAAGCAGCCTCAAAGCCAGCAGAAGGCACAGCATGTTCTTATTTATGAAAATACTTGATTTCCAGTTTAAGGTGGAATCCACAGACACTGCTGTTGACACAGATCATACAAGAAAGCTCCAGTTCACTTCCGATAGGTGGAAGGGGGGACTCTTTAGTGGGAGCTAGCTTAGCCTTGGAGGAGGGAGCAGTACTTTAAATATACAGTAATTGCATATTTCCAAGGCAAAATAGAAGCCACTGTATATCTGAGCTACTTAAACACAGTTTTCAATGTGTGGGAAGGGAGGGTGAGGAGAAAGTGGACAGCAACAGACATTTCCTTTCTAATAATGAGCACTATACCACATCAGTTGCCATATCACAACTGTATAGCAAAACAAAACAAAGCACACCAAAAACAAAACTCTTTCTCAAAATCAGAAGAGTAACACTGCAGTCCTCAGGCTGAGAAACTAATGAATTGAAACCACCCTTGCTATACAAGACGGGCTCGAACTCAACTCCCCCGGCCTCACTATTTATCTCTGAATGCCTCTTTTTCATTAGCAATTGGAGAAAAAGAAATTTATTTTCTTCTTAACGTACGGTAACAAGCATTTGACTATCTTTATGTGAATCCGATCAATTTTTTCACTATAAAAGTCTTCTTGGAAATTCAAGGGCACAGTGTTGTTGTGGTAAGGTCACTCAAGAGAGTACACAGGCACCAAAGACACATTCATTCATAAGGTGGGGGAAAGGAGAGAGAACAGGTTCCCTTTTCCTCTCCTGCAAGAGAAAGACAATATGGAGAAGCCATTTTGGAATTTTAATTGGAAACATTTCCCAGTGAGCACCCCCCAGCAAAAAGAAAAAGAAAAGAGAGAGAGAGAGAGAAAGGATGAAAAAGCAGGAGTTTGATTCCTCCTTTCTGGGTCAGCATATTAAATTTAAAGGAACCAAAAAAAAATCAGAAAAAGTGGCAGAAATACAACATTCAAGCTCAGTGACACAATAAAAACTTGTAAGAAGTGCTGAAGATACTGAGAGAAGTCATTAGGAGCAGCCAAAACAATTTATTATGTTCACCTTAATTCAGCCCCCCCAAAAATCTATAGTATAGAACAGATTCCAGACTCCACAGGAACTGTTTCACCTTTCTTGTAAACCCCACGGGCCACCAAGAAGGCTTCCCTTTACTTCCAGGGCTGTATGTTTTTAACACACAAATTTGGTGGAAAGTAACAGTTTTGATCAGGTGTTGCCTGCTATTTCTGCCTCAATCCTGCCGCCCAGTGACCGCAGCAGTAGGCATCTTGGGGAAAGCAGAGCCAGTAATTATCCCTTATCCTGGCAGCCTCACTCAGAGCAACTGTTTCACAATGCCTTTTGAAAACGGAAAAAAAATGCTTTAGGAAATGTGAATGGGGAGTTTAATGAATTAAGACAGTCATTCAAATGAACTTCATTCACAAAGCGACAGGAATAAAGGAGCAGGGTACTGCCAGGGGGCAGAGGTCATCTAGCTCACCCTCTCTGCCCAAGGGCAAAACCCATCCACCACTTAAGCTACAACACACACACACACACACACACACACTTTTCTCCCTCTCTCTCTCTCCAGGAAGTACACTAGGGCAAACGCTCCTTGATCTACCTCACTACACCAGAGACCAGCTAGCTGATCAAACTGGCGGATAAACTGTCTGACAATATGCTGGCTTCTCACTACTCAGTCACCACTGCTCCCACATACACTGCCTGTGTGCAAAAGCGATATTCAAAGGCAAGGAAAAAAACTGAATAAAAACTCAGTTCACATGGTGTCATTACACACACACACACACAGCGGATCTGTGCATGAATGGTCTATTAAATGGTAATTAAATGGAATGTGAGAAGGCTAGAAAGATCCACACAAGCAAAGCCGAGGAGGCTTTCTTCTTTTTTTTTTTAAAAAAGGAGAGGATACCCCCTTGAAAAGGAGCGGGAGGCAAGAGGCGTCGCAAAACCAGATGCAAAGAGGCAGATGTCAGAAGGCAGAAGAGAGGAGTGAGCGGCTACTACTTTAAGTGTGTCGCGCCGTCCCTCTCCCATTCATAGATAATGGGAAGAATCGGGCCAAGCCAGGCCAGGCCGTCCCTTTCTCCAAGGAGGGAATAAAATCTCGCCCCGGAGGCAGAGCAGAGGGGGAAATTCCTCGTTCCTGCCGGGGGTGGGGGGGGAGGAAAGGCACCGAGAGAGGGACCCCTTCCCCGGAGGGGGGGGCGATCCCTCCTCGCGCTCAGCACCTGGAAGCAGTTTGCGAGACAAAACAACACAAAAAGCCCCGCCAGATGAAAACCAGAGCAGAAGCCGCTCGCCATAAACACGCACCCTAATCCTCCCCATCCGCTGCTCCGGGAAGGTCCTCCTGGATTTTGAAAGCAGGTTTTATTTTTTTTACTCAGAGCAACTAGAAGTCCTGTTTTCGATGGGGGGGGGCAGCAGCCTCCCCACCCCCACCCGTTAAGCCGGGCCAGGAAATCTTGAGGGATCGGAGACAGAAAAGACCGAAGGTTTGCAGATCAGAGCAGGAGATTTAATCCAAAGAGAGGCAAACAGAGATAGGGGGAGAGGAGTGGGGGCTGAGGTTAGGCGGGAAGCACGCCAAGTGTGTGTGGGGGGGGGCTGGAAGAGCCGAGTCCTGCTCCTGGAATAGGAGGGGGGAAGGGGCAATTCTCCGATCTCGATCTCTCTTTCACACAAACACGCGTTACTTGGACACGTTACCTTTCAGGTAGAACGCCTTGCACCCGTCGTCGCGTAGTTTTTGCAGCAAGAGGCCGAGGACCGAGGTGGGGCCGCCGCCGCCGCCGTCCTGCTGCTGCTGCCACTCGGCCGTGGCCTCGTCGTAGAGCAGGACGGTGTCCGCCTTGCACCGCTTGATGAAGCGCTCCTTGTCCTCGTTGTTGGGGATGATGGAGCGGATGGGCAGGTTGCCCTTCTTGAGGCGCCGGAGCATCAGGCTCGGGATGGCCAAGTTGATGGCGGTCTCGATGTGGGACGACTCGAAGAGCTCGTGGGGCCGGCAGTCGAGCAGCAGCAGCGAGCTGCCCCCGCGGCTCTCCAGCTCCTCCTGCAGCCACTCCGCGCTCTTCCACGGCATCGCCGCAGCCATGGGAGTCCGCGCGGCGCCGCTGCTGCTGCTGCCCCAGATGTGGTTTTTCATCAGGATCGCAAAAATTATTTTTTAAAAAAGGGAGGGGGAAGAAGGAGCGGGGAGCAGAAAGGGCGCGCGCGGAAAAACAACAACAACCCCCTCTCCGTGGGTGGGTGGCCGGGAAAGGGGGAGGAAAATGCCCTGCAACCTTCCCCCCAAACCACCGAAGACGAGAGGAATTATTTTTTAATGAATTTGGAGGGGAAGCAGCAATCCGGGTCGCTTTAATGATCCAAGGAGCTCCAGCCCGATCGGCGATCCCGTCCTCTCTCTCGCTCCGCTTCTGCTGGTTCTCTCTTCTCCTTCCCCCGGCGAGGAGGGTGCGAGCGCCGGAGAAGAAGAGGCGGCCTCCGCGGATCTGCCCGGACGAGTGGCTCAGCTCGAAGCCGCCACGACTGGAGTCCCCGCGCCCGCCCTCCTCCCGCCTGCCCGCTTCATCCCGGGCTCAGCCTGACAGCCTCAATTAAAAAGGGGGCTTCGCCAGCGGGTCGGCGTGTCAGGGCTCGGAGGGAGGCGGAGCCTGACTGCCTGCTTGCTTGCCTGGGCGGGAGGCGAGGCGAGGCGAGGCGAGGCAGGGAGGGAGGCCCGCCTTAAAGGGGAAGGAGCCTCCCTTGGGCGCCCGGGCCGCCGCTGTCCTCGCTTCGCCTTCCCTCCTCGCAGGCTGGCGCGTCGCAACAAGCGGTGCGGGTCCGCTGGCGAGCGAGGTTCCCTTCCTTCGTCACATCAGGCGTTGGGCTTTTGCGGTTTTTTGGGGGGGATTTCTCGATGCGTCTCTGCGCGCGTGTGCGTGGATTTAGTGAAATCCTATACTCTCTGCCTTGGCTGAAAAGGCCCTATAGTTCAGTGAAATTTACTCCTGAGTACACACAGGCATATTCTCGGGCTTGGCAGGATGCGGGACTTAGGGACGCTCATGGGGCGTGTCGTCGTCAATGACAGCATTTCAGCAGATTAGGACTCCACAGATGTGGAGTGCCTGTCCCGTTTCCAGCCTTTTGTCTGTCGTTTGTTTGAAAACGAAAGTCCAGTGCTTCGGAACAGACCTAAAGGGGGGAGAGATCGTGTGCGAGTGATCACTTAAATCCTTTCTGGAACAAATATACTGTAGATCTGGAGAGCGAGCGGAAAAAGGGTTCTGCTCTCTGCAAAAGGCGACCTTTCTCGACTGATCGGAGGCGATTGCGGGCCACCTCCAGCGGCGGCTCCTTTTACTTTCACTAAACGGGAAATGCCCCCATTCTTCAAGTAAGCATGAATGGGAAGGAGGTTCTTGCCTCATTAACCTCGGCTGTAAACGTCAAATAGGATTTCAACCTGAATCTATTAATACAGATTTTTTTTAAAAAAACTCCCTTTTATTCACAAGGCCAAGTCGCGGGCTTCACTTCCAGGCAAAGACTTAAACGGGGCGTCGGTAGCGCGGACTGGAACCGTTTGCGCAGGCACACAAGAAGAACTGCTCCAGTAGAAATGGATGTGGAAAGGAGAATTCTACCACCATACCTATACATAGACCAAAAAAATACAGTATTTATCTGTCAAGCGAGGCAGAGATCCGAAAGGGCGCCGCAAACAAAGCAAGGCACATGCAGCGCGGAGGCATCTGCGCCCTGTGACACAGAGCTGGCTAGAATCTTAATCTTTAAAAGGTTTATGAGCTGCGCCTTTGATTGACAGGACTCCTCGGAGCACGTGACCTTTATTTAAAGAGAGGGGCAAGCCGACTCCTCTTCTGCTGTAATCCGTTAGCGAGGAGCCAATGAGCCAGTTAAGTAGGCGGAGCTGGAAGCCGAGCGGCCTATTACGAAGCGGGGGTGGAGCCTTTAGAATGTTGGGCATCAAGTCACTAAACACAAAGCGCGGGAAGTTGAGCTGGAGGATTTGAATGGAGTGTTACGCTGGGGTACGGCTGCGAATGTCGTGGCTCGCTTCCGTAAACAGTGGCTAACCAGATTTTGCGTAGTTTTTGATCCTGATAAACCTGCTACATCCTGATGATTTTTTTTTTTCAATATTTAGCCACGCTGTTCAGGAGGAACAGTCTTTGTCGTACCCCTACAGGCAGTTTAGGGCATCTTCACGTTTCACATTTTGTGATGACTGGGAATATTTTTAATGCACACCTAAAATTTTATATTAGGCAAGAAATATGCACAACATGGAGTGCCGTGTGGTGGATCAGGACTCAAGTAACCTGGGTTTGAATCCCGGCTCAGTCATGGAAACTCACTTGGTAGCAATCAGTGGTGGGGTGGAACTGGAAAGATTGCTCCTTAAATACTGTATTTACTTTGAAAACACTGTTAGGGTTGTTAGGGAAGTTGATTCCGACTTGACAGCACAGCATATATAAAATGTAAAACACAGATATATAAAATACAGAAGCTGCTGTTGGACATTACTAGGTGACCCAAATGCACAACCTGTGGCCAAAACAACTCTTTTTAAATGCATGTGATAGTGTCACGTAGAAACATGAAGACAACTGGGATAATATATATCTACTTACTGGCATGTACAAGTTTACTTCTGAGAGGTGTGGAATGGCTACTAGGGTGATAATGCTGTGCTGTGAAGAAAAAGAAGTGTTTTATCTGTTCCATAAACAGTACTAATGACATCCTGGCAATTATAATGATGCTACAACACAAGAAACACAGGATAGCAGAGGTATTTATTTCAGTGATTATAAGTACAGTAGTGTAAATTCTCCAAAATAAATTATTGATGTGGACTATTTTCTGCAATTATCATTATCATAGTCACATCATTAAAACTCCACCAAGTGTGTGCCTAACTTTAGAAAATGTAAATTGTCACCAAAATACACAGAGAGAAGCACTGTAACAAGCTTCAGACATCCTTAATTGGACCAAATAGGATTTAAAATGTAGAACAACCTTTCAGAACGATAGGTTCCTATTTTACATGTTGAATGTTTAAGGAGGAAAAACGCCTCTTGGAAGCAAAACAAGATCTCTTGAATATTTATATTGTTATATATTTATTTAGAGCATCATGTCGGAATGGTGTTTGTTCTGGAGCACAACTTCCAGAATTCCCCAGTCTAAGGGATACTGGTACTACAAAAATGTAGTACTCCCAAGCTCCAAAGGGGAGTCCAATAAAATCACAATGTGAAGAACAACAGATACTACAAAACGTTGTCTACAGATTCAAAAATAATGTTAAAAGTAGATACTGACCAAAGAAGACAATTTTGATTGCCTGTTGGAAGCACAATATGGATGGGACCGGCCTGGTTGCTCCATGAAATGGGTTCTGCTACAGAAAAGCCCTGTCTTGTGTACTCACCAGCCTAACTGCTCAGTATGGTGGGGCAAACATCTATGAAATATTTCAGTCTTTCAGATATATAATACTGATCCTAAACTGTTTACATCAGGTCCAGACATAGGAGAACTGAATGTACATCAGAATTTGGGGTGGGGGTGGGCTGTCCTTTGTTTGTTTTTTTCATTACCCAGACATTGGCAGGGTCAAAAATTTGCACAGTCTTTTTGAATGGAGAGCATTATGTTTCTTTGCATTTTTGCAACCTTTGTTCTTTGGCTATGGCAGTTTTAAAGGATACTGTGAAAAATGATTTGAAAAGAAGAAGTCCTCATTCCACAGGTGTTGTAGTTCTGTCACATGGTTCACAGGCCTCCCTAAGCAAGGTTAAGTGCAATCCTGGACACGTTTGCCTGGGACTGAGCCCTATCAGACCCAATGAAGGCCTTACTTCCTAGTAGGATTGTGTTGTAAAATTTGTTGGGCTGCTCTACCAGATTAGTTCGGGCAACAATTTCAGAAAGGGCCAGCGACAGCAGAAAACCAGAAGCATCAAATCATCCAAGTGGCTTCCAAGACTCTAAAAACTAACATATTTTATTTGGTATAAGCTTTTGTGGATCACTGCCCAGCTTGTTAGTTTTTAAAGTGCCACAAGATTCTTTGTGTTAGTGTTACTGTATCAGACCTACAGATTACAGCGACCTGTCTGGAACATCCAAGAGTGTTTGGTCACTTACCAGTGTCATGCTCATGTCCTGGCTTCTGGCATGCAGGTCATTGGGCTGTATTGTATCATTTATTGCCTTCTGAAACTTTCAACATAACACACAGAGACCAGGCCTAGACCATGGTACTCTTCCACTTGGACATGTTTGCTTGCGGGAGCACTAAATCCTATGCACGATTCAGGCACAAACCTGTCAGACTACTATGCACAATGTAAACCATGGCTGCGTCACCCAGATAACATTCCATGTCTCAGCAAGTGTGTATGTCCCTTAAAATCTATAAACAATGCAAAAGGTTCAAAGGAAACATTCTGATCATTTACGCAAGAAGCACCAGCTGGATGGCCGCATCCATTAATGAGAGAGAGAGAGAGAGACATCCCTAAAGGGAGAGAGAGAGAGAGAGAGATCCCTAAAGGGGGAAGTTGGCTGGATAGCTCAGTGAGTTGGAATACCTAGCTAAGGAACAAGGGCCAGAAATTTCATTTCCCGCTGTGTCTTTGTGGTAGATCCTAGCTAAGGAACAAGGGCCAGAAATTTCATTTCCCGCGGTGTCTTTGTGGGAGATAGCCAGCCCTGTGTGGCCTCTGCCAAGCTGCACAATCCCAGGGTGCTAGCTGAAGAAGGGGCTGGAAGCCAATCCTGAGTGCTCCATACCTAGAAAAGTATGCAATAACATGCTGAAATACCTTGTTTCAAGAAAGAAGGAAAGCAAAAAAATGAACAAGGGCCAGAAATTTCATTTCCCGCGGTGTCTTTGTGGGAGATAGCCAGCCCTGTGTGGCCTCTGCCAAGCTGCACAATCCCAGGGTGCTAGCTGAAGAAGGGGCTGGAAGCCAATCCTGAGTGCTCCATACCTAGAAAAGTATGCAATAACATGCTGAAATACCTTGTTTCAAGAAAGAAGGAAAGCAAAAAAATGCGGAAGAGAAAAAATTCTCTTCTCTTTCTGTCTCCACTGGTCGAAGTACAGCTCGTGGCTGCCTTCAAAACATTCAGCCAGCGTAGCTGAAACACTTTACAAATACTACTGGTTATGTTATGTTCCTGCCTGGACTGTGAAAGAATGAGAATGTAAAACAAGCTGACCTTGATCCTGATTATCAAAGGACTTCTAATTCTTTTTGAAAATGAACAATCTTGTGCCTAGAAGAATTATTACACTTTCTCTCCCGAAATCTCCGTTGGGCTACTTTGCAATAAACATCATTTTCTGTCAGTCTTTGGATGTGTAAAAACCGTGTGCGTATAAGATGTAAAAATATCAAAACAAGTGTTTTATACTAACACTTTATCCTGCCATAAACAAGGCTGCCAAGTCTTGCATTATTAGTATTTCTAAATATTAGCACTAGGTTTTATGTCTTGCCTTGAAACTCTCGGGTGAAGTGTAAAATTGAAACAAAAATCAATCCTTGCCTACACGCATACCATTTAAATAAACCATTTCAGATGCTTTTCTAATACCTGGACTCTTGTTTTTATCACAGTTTTAGGTCACAATCCTG